AGCTAAGAGAGGCCAGTCACGAGGGCATTCGAGATCTTGCTCCCTGGCATGTGTCGTCAGTTTGGCTCAAATAAACTCTTATAACAATTTTAAAACACACACAACACACACAAAAAAGAAAAGAAATGCCATACATTTAGCTGTATGACCTTGGGCAAGTCATCAACCACCCCATGACGTAGTTCCCGCCTCTGTAAAATGAGAAGAAGAATAATACCTATTAGGGCTGTCGTGATTGAATTAGATAAAAGCACTTGGGATTAGCCCTAGCCAGTTTGGCTCAGTGGATAGAGTATCAGTCTTCGGACTGAAAGGTCCCAGGTTCGATTCTGGTCAAGAGCACACAAGCCAGCCGATCAATGATTCCCACTCATCATTGACGTTTCTATCTCTCCCTTCCTCTCTGAAATCAATAAAATTACTTTAAAAAAAGCCCTTGGAATAGAGGCTAATTCCTTGTACTTCTTCAAACATATGCATTATTACTTTATTCCTACATCACCATCATCATCATCACCATCATCATCACCACCACCACCACCATCGATCCTGGAATGCAGTGTGTGGAAGGAAAAGAAGCCACAATGACAGGTGTAGTCCTGGCCGGTTCTGTTGTGTGTTTGCCAACATGACACAAGTCACTTCTCTGAGCCATGTCTCATTGATCAGTAAAATGCAAGGGAACTCATCTATCCATGGGTGACGCCTTGGCAATCATCTTCGCAGGTCTCAGGGGCTGTGGCTTCTCAGTTTTGCTAGACAAGGCCAGATGGTCTTCCAGAAAGATGCTGGGTGTCTTCTTAGAGGTGACTCCGACAAAGGGTCAGGGCAAGAGTGTCTGAGGGATGACAAGGTGTTCCATGTCTTGTTTGTGGTCACGGTCCCATCGCCGCATGCATTTGCCAAGACTCGGAACTGTACGCCACGAGGAGTGAATTTTACTGCGTCCAAAGATGACATGAATAGAAAATACACTGACCTCCTTTTCAGTGATTGCCGGGGTTCTTGTTCCAGCATCTAGAAGGGTTCAGCAATCTGGAGAGGGGCCGGGTGTAACTTAAGAGTCCAGAGACAAAATATAATTTTGAAAGGCATTAGGGGGTCAGAGGAGCTTAGCGCAAAGGAACTAAGCTCTCCTCGGCTCAGGACCCCATGCTTTTTATTAACACAAATTGCCCGGAGGCGAGGCAGAGATACACACTTCAAAGGGTCAGGTTTCATTTACAGCAGCGGTTCGCAACCTGTGGGTCACGACCCCTTTGGGGGTCGAACGACCCTTTCACAGGGGTCGCCTAAGACCATCGGAAAACACACATATAATTACATATTGTTTTTGTGATGAATCACTACGCTTTAATTATGTTCAATTTGTAACAATGAAATTGGGGGTCGCCACAACATGAGGAACTGTATGAAAGGGTCGCGGCATTAGGAAGGTTGGGAACCACTGGTAGAGGATGTAGGTCCTTCCATGAGGGTGAGGAGGCCAGTATCGGAGGAAGAAGGCTCAGACCTGGCTGGCTTGGCTCAGTGGATAGAGCATCGGCCCCGGGGACTGAAGGGTCCCGGGTTCGATTCCAATCAAGGGCACATGCCTGGGTTGTGGGCTCAATCCCTAGTAGTGGGTGTGCAGGAGGCAGCCGATCCATGATTCTCATCATTGATGTTTCTCTCTCTCCCTCTCTCTCTCTGAAACCCATAAAAATATATTTTAAAAAAAGAGGAAGAAGGCTCAGGGCTGGGAGACTTCCAAGGTGAAGGGCGGCCCTGAGGTCACCCTCTGAACCAGGAAGGTAACTCAGGGGACAGTCAGTGAGTCTGGGGGGTGCTCTGTGGGAATTTTCAAAACCCGGGGAAGCCCCGAAGGTGACCCCCTCAACACGGTAACTCTGAAAAGACAATGAAAAGGACTGTCCCTGCCCTTGGCCGGTTTGGCTCAGTGGATAGAGCGTCGGCCTGCGGACTGAAGGTTCCCGGGTTCGATTCCGTTCTTCAAGGGCACGTGCCTGGGTTGTGGGCTTGATCCCCAGTAGGGGGCGTGCAGGAGGCAGCCGATCAATGATTCCCTCTCATCACTGATGTTTCTCTTTCCCTCTCCCTTCCTCTCTGAAACCAATATATATTAAAAAAAAAAAAAGAAAAAAAAAAAAGGATGGTCCCAAATGTCTGTCAAAGGGGGAGGGGCAATTCCCAAGGGAGGGAGGAGAGGCCCTGAGGATAAGCCCTGAGCAGGGGAGGGAGGAGGAAATGAGGGGGGGAGCCCCTAGGTAGGCAGAGTGGGGCTCACAGGGCGGGAGGGACCCCCTTTCCTGTGAAGGGCGCCCTGGGGCACCTGGATGTGAAGGAGCTGGCAGTGAGGAGGGGGGGCCTTCAGGAAGGGGGGGGGGCTTCAGGATGGCTTCCTGAATTTCAAAAATGTCCATAAAACACCTATAAGGGGGGCAGGGAAGGGGAGAATGGCAATGGGGGGTGGGCATTAAGAAGGGGGGGGGAAGCGTAAGGGATATGGATCCGAAGGTGGAGGTTCCCCTGGAGACCACCTTCCCTGGACACTGAAGGATGCCTGGGCGCCCCTGAAAGAGTGGGGGGCCCTCAGTTCCAGGACTTCCCAGGAAGGAGCAGGGAGACTAGGGAAGCGGAGGGGGGGTGGTGGGGGGGGGGCCGAACTGAGGGTGGGGGGTCCTGACCTTCACCCTCAGGGGCCCAGACGTTGGGGGACCACGGGGGGAGGGTGTGGGAAGGCATAAACCCAAGGAAGGATGGGACCCCTCCTCGGAGTCCGCAGGGTTCCATTCCCCCCGTCATCTGAGGGGCCTGGGGGGTATAAATAAGGGGTGCAGAAGCAGAATTCTTGGGTCAAAGTCTCAAGGTGACCCCTGGGCCCTGAGGGGCTGGGAGGGGAGGGCCCTCCAGCGGGCGGGAGGAGGGATGGAAGGGGGGGCGGGGGGCGGTGACACGGGACCCCAGTTGGAAGGGTTGAGAGGGTGGGGAAGGCTCAGGGGAGCGCACGGGGCCCCGGGGTGTCCGGGAGGGGCCGGAAGTGGAGGGAAGGGGGCCTTGGGGGATCTGTGAGCCCTGTGGGCTGGGAAGGCCCTAAAGATCAGCTCTCGCATCCGTGACAGGAAGATACCCGTGGGGGGCGGTGAAAGGGGGGGTCGGGGCTAAGGCGGGAGTAGGGCAATGGGGCTCCGTGGGCGGGATTCCCCCTCAGCCCCGCCCAGGGACCCCGTCCTCTCCCACCTTCGATCTGAGGGCGGCGGAAGAGACCGTCCCCGAGCGGATAACCGCCACCGCTAAGGGCCAAAGCCAAAACTGTCCGTTACAGCCCGAAACACAGAAGCGGAAAAAATCCAGCCAATCAGAGGGTGAGAAAGAGGCTCGCGCTCAGGAACGTAGCCAATCAAAGAGCGGAGGAGGGCGGGGCACTGGGACGCCACTCAAGCTCCCTCTGCAATCAGAGTCGAGGAAGCTATCTCGCGCTGCCTCACGTAGCAAGGAGTGGGCGGGGCCAAATTGGTCCCCAGCGAATCGGAAGCTTCACTCCTTCCTCCGCCTCCACCCCCTCACCCCGACACGGGAATTTATTGGTCACTTTTCGAAACTTGCCTGTCAATTTTGAAAGACAGGCGTTTCTTTAGAGACGCGAGATCCGGCCTCCTCTCTCCCAGCGTCGGGGGAGAGCCTTAAAGGGCCAGCTACGAGGTACTTGCAGAAGTCAGACTGTGATCGCGGACGTAGGAGGAACCCCCCGCCTGACCCCCGCCCCCCCCAACGCCGCATCTAAGCTGGAATTGAGCAGAAGCGCTATTTCTCTGCAAAGAAACGTTCACTCAAAACGCCTAGGCAACTTGCTGCGTAAAATAGCACCGATTGGAGCCCTGAAGTTACAAACCCTGCCTAGGCATGTAAGCTGCCTGTTTGGGATCAGAGCTAGGAGGCCCCAGGTTCAGATCCCTGCTGTGCCCCTTACAAGCTCCGGGACCTCAGGCAACTAACGTGACCTCCCTGAGACACAGTTTGGCCCTCTCTGAAATGAGAATTTCATGAATTAGAATTATTAATTGAGACAGATCTCTATTTTATAAAATAGCTAATAGTATTCCTCAAAACCGTCAGGACTGTGGAGGCGGGGCGGAAAGACCAACTGCCGCAGAGCAGAGACTACAAAGGAGACGCGATGACCGATGATATCCTGCATCAGGGAGGGGAGGGGAGGGGAGGGGAGGGGAGGGAAGGGAGGGAGGAGGGAGGAGGGAGGGAGGGAGGGAGGAAGGAAGGAAGGAAGGAAGGAAGGAAGGAAGGAAGGAAGGAAGAAAGAAAGAAAACAGTGTAAAAATTCGTTCATAGTCACGTTGGTCTGTCACTGTGACAAGTGCTACACAGCAGCGTGACAAGCTAACATTAGGGAAGCTAGGTGAGGAGTATATGGGAACTCGGTATTTGTAAGTTTTCTATAAATATAAAGATATTCCAAAATAAGCCATTTATTTAAAAAAAATAGAAGAGGGAGAAGAAGAAAAAGGTAAAGATAAAAATTATGAACAACAACTACATATCTATCAACAAGTGAATCTAAAAATCAAGTGAATAAAAAATCTGATGAACAGATTATCTGATGAATAGAATAGAACAGAAATCTGATGAATATGATAGAATCAGGGGCATAGAAAGGGAGTGGACTGACAATTCTCGGGGGGAAAGGGGTGTGGGGGTGCAGGAAGAGACTGGACAAAATCGTGCACCCATGGATGAGGACAGTGGAGGGGGGGGGGCGGTGAAGGCAGAGGGAGGGTGGGAACCGGGTGGAGGGGAGCTACGGGGGGGCGGGGGAGGGAAGAGGAACAACTGTAATAATCTGAACAATAAAGATTTAATTTAAATAAAAAAATAGACCGTCCCCTCTCCTTCTCCTTGCATCCCTCATCCCGGCCCAGTCCCTCCAACACTGCCTACCTGCTCCACCCTCGAACCTTTGCACGCGCTGTTCCCGCCGCCGGGGATGCGCAGGTCCCCGGTCTGCGGGCGCCTCCCCGAAGCCTCCCATCCGAAGCAGCTGCTCCCTGCGCCGCTGCACCCCCTCGCCCTGGCCCCACACCCTCACCGCCCTCCTAGGAAGTGTGTTGTTGTGTCTGGTCCGCCTCCCTCGACGCCTGTGGGAATCGGGGCTGCATCTGTTTGGTCCCGGCTGCACCCCCCGCGCCCGGCCCAGCACGGAGCAGGCGGTGAGAGGGCGTTTCTTAAATGAATGGATAGACGAACGACTATTATTCCTCAATAAGACACGGCCGTGACCGCCGGCGGTAACGACCAGAGAGTCTCACTGGTTGAGATCAATGATAGTAGTTCCGATTCTGTGTTGACTACTGGACACACGTGGGATCCTCGTAAGCTTCCTAAGAACCCGGGGTGGGGGGGGGGGGTAGTGTAGCCCCGTTTCTCAGAGAGAGAAAGCAAAACATAGAAGTTAAAGTCACAAAGGAAGACGGAGACAGAGCCCAAACGGGAAGCCAGCCCCTGAAGCTCCCAGCCCAGCTACTAACCCCTCAACCCCGGGAGGGTCCAACCTCCAGACTGCCCCGTCTCAATGCTCCTTCAGTCCTGAGGAACACCACCCGGCCCCCAGAAAACAGGGGCACAGGTGGAGCGAGGGGAGGGGCTGGGGGCCGGGGCTCCTGGGTCTGAGGGAGGAGGATCTGGGGGTCTGGACCCCTGGGTCTGAGGGAGGAGGGGCTGCGGGCCTGGACACCTGGGTCCGAGGGAGGAGGATCTGGGGGTCTGGACCCCTGGGTCTGAGGGAGGAGGGGCTGGGGGCCTGGACCCCTGGGTCTGAGGGAGGATGATCTGGGGGCCGGGATCCCTGGGTCCGAGGGAGGAGGGGCTGGGGGCCTGGACCCCTGGGTCTGAGGGAGGAGGGGCTGGGGGCCTGGACCCCTGGGTCTGAGGGAGGAGGGGCTGCGGGCCTGGGCTCCTGGGTCCGAGGGAGGAGGATCTGGGGGCCTGGACTCCTGGGTCTGAGGGAGGAGGGGCTGGGGGCCTGGACCCCTGGGTCTGAGGGAGGAGGGGCTGGGGGCCTGGACCCCTGGGTCCGAGGGAGGAGGGGCTGGGGGCCGGGACCCCTGGGTCTGGGGAAGTGGGAGCTGAGTCTTGGGCTGGGTGGGCTTGGGGAACTATGCTCCAGCCCTGCATCGTTTCCCACGGCTCCCCACGCCCTGCAGGCCACGCCCCCTTTCTGACAAGCCCCGCCCCTTTCTCCCCGGACCCCTCCCCCCTCCCTGGCCCTGGAGAAGCCCAGCGGAAGGTGCTAGAAGGGACTCCAGGGACCCTCGTGCAGATGGAGCAGCAGAAGGAAGAGCCGGGCCCGGAAGGGTGAGAGACTGAAGACCTCCCTCGGGAGGACGGAGACCCGAGGGTGGGGGGGGGGGGGACGGAGAAAGTCAGAGGGAGGTGAATGGACCCCCGAGAGCGTCAGAGAAACAAACAAACAAAAAGTCTCGGGTATCATCGCACAGAAACAGAACCTTGAAGGATCTTGGTGACAGATTGAGCACGATACTTAGGACTAGAATTCAGCGGTGGCGAACCTTCTGAGCTCGGCGCGTCAGCATTTGGAAAAACCCTAACTCAACCCTGGTGCCGTGTCACATACAGAAATTTTTTGATCTTTGCAACCAACGTAAAACAAAGACGTATATTTTTGATATTTATTTTATATATTTAAATGCCATTGAACAAAGAAAAATCAGCCAAAAAAAATGAGTTCGTGTGTCGCCTCTTACACGCGTGTCATAGGTTCGCCATCACTGGGCTAGGGAGAGAGCTGGAAGCAGATATTCCTGGAACAGAGAGGGATTTCGAGAATGAGCCAGGAGACTGGAAAATGCCAGGAACAGCCATAGGCCTGGAGAAAGAATAATAACAACAACAACAACAACAGTAATAATAATAACTGCCTGCATTTCTTTTTTTTAAAATGTATTTTATTGATTTTTCACAGAGGGGAAGGGAGGGAGTTAGAAACATCGATGAGAGAGAAACATCGATCAGCTGCCTCCTGCACACCTCCTACTGGGGATGCGCCTGCAACCAAGGTACACGCCCTTGGCCTGAATCGAACCCGGGACCCTTCAGTCCGCAGGCCTACGCTCCATCCACGGAGCCAAACCGGTCAGGGCCTGCCTGCATTTCTTGAACACAGCCCAAGCCCAGCCGTTTCGCAGGCACCTTGGGCAACTCCTAAAGGCAGGCTTTGGTAGGAAAGATCGAGGTTAGCGTGGGAAAGTGCTCTGGCCTGAGACGCATCAGGCGCGAGCCGGGTGGGCAGCCTGGACTGGAGCTGGCATCTCCTGATGCTGAAGTGCCAGCCCAGCTGCCCGTCTCCCTGTCAAAGGAGAAACAGAGAGAGGGCGGGAGGAGAGAGGGGCTGGGAGGAGGGGGTGAGGGCGCCCGAGGTGGATGCAGAAGTCAAGGCAGAGAGATGGGCCCCGGGAGGCACAGAGGCCACCAGGCTGCCCTGGGAAAGGTGTGCGGATGGTGGGAGCCGCTGACCGGTCCTCTTGCCATTCCAGGAACCACCTGCCACCGCCTGGGACGGGGCCCTGGCCCCCCATGCCCTTCCCGGCCCTGCCATCTTCTCTCCTGGGCACCCCAGATCCAGCACACCTGGGGCTCCCCGAGGGCCTGGCCTCCGTCACCGTGCCCATCCGCCTGGACGCCCTCTCCTACCTCCTGCACAGCGCCTTGCTGGGGGCCTATAACCTCCAGCAGTCCCTGCCCTCCTGCACCTGCCACCCCCAGGCTCCCGACCCCCAGCCCCCCACCGCCAAGAGGCCATTCAGGGGGTGTGGGGACTGGGACGTCCCTCGCAGGCCAGGCTGGGGCCGGGGCCGGGGCCGGGGCCAGAGGCGACAGGGCCCTGGGAGGTCTGAGCAGCCAAAGCCGTTCTGGGCAGGGGACTCCGGGGCTGGCCCCAGGACCCCACCCACGACGCCGTCATCACCCCCAACACTGCCCACCCAGGATGGGAAGAAGGAGGCGGGAGGTCCGGAGCCACCCTTGGCCACGCCACCTGCCGCTGAGGACTGGGACACGGAGTACTAGGCGCCGAGGGCCCAGCACCTTGGCCTCCGGAGGCCACTCAGGGTCACCAAGAGGGTCCTGGAGCCCAAGGGGGACCTCAGCCCTGTCAGAGACACCCTGCCCCTCCCCCCAAACCAGGGCCCCAACAGGGGGCCTGGGAATCCCCTGTGAAACCTGGACCTGACTTAGCATCCCAAGCCTTGCACCTCATACCCAGCACCACCCCCAACTACAGCGACAACCCTCAGCTCATTCTCTGTCGGGATCCTGACCCCTTTCTCAACCCCAAAGCCATTCACCTGCCTCTGCAACCCCATCCCACCCCCACTCGGTACCACATTCCCATCCCCTCCATTCCCAGCTGCTTCATCCTCACCCCCCACCTACTTCAGGTCAACCCAGCCCCAGTCCCAGCTCATCTCCCACCCATCTCATCCTCAACTTCCTTCCTGTCCTGGCCCCAACTGTGACACGCCCTCTGGCCTCATCCACAAAGAATCCCCCCCACCCAGCCCCAGGCCCAGTATTCCCAGACACCACCCCATTTCCCTGCCCTTGGGAGTGGGGGGGAGGGGAGGTTGAACAATAAATGGATGCGTGTCCCTATGTCTTGTGTCTGTGTGTGTGCGCGCTTACGAAGCTCAGGCTGACCCAGTGGGTGTTGTGAGCAAGGCCTGTGATGGGAAGGAGGGTGGGGGGGTTGGGGGGGAAGGTCGCTGAGGGTCACAGAGAGAGGCCAGTGGGGCCTGGGGGTGCAGGGAGGGAGGCCTGGATTCCTGCTTCAGCAAATTCCATTTGGGGCCTCTGCCACCATTGCACTTCTGCTTGCTAGAAGCTGCTGGGCTGTGGGGCCATTGTGTGGGGAGGCTTAAGGGATTTGGGGGGCCCAGGGAGCAGAGAGGCCAGCGACCTGGCTCGGCTCAGTCTGCACAGAGGGGCCGAGGCAGACGGAGGGCTCAGCACAGGCTCTGAGACTCAGGTAGGAACCGGGCATGGGACCCACAGTCCCTCCTCCCCCAAGACCTAGGCATCCAGTCCTCCAGCTCCTTCCTTTCCCTGAGGCCTGATGAGGTTCCAGCGCCAGCCCCAGCCCCCTTCACACCCGGGACCCAGGAGTCCAGGGCCCCAGCCTCCTCTTCCCCCAGGGATTTTGGTGCCCCAGTGCCCACACCACCTCCTGGCTTAGGACCTGGAAGTCCAGGCCCCCCAGGATCTTTCTCCCCCAAGACCCAGGGGTCCAGGCCCCCAGCCCCTCCTCCCTCAGACCCAGGAGTCCAGGCCCCCAGCCCCTCCTCCCTCAGACCCAGGAGTCCAGCTCCTGACGCCATCTCTCCCCTTCCCCACAGATCGCCATGTACAGCTTCATGGGCGGCGGCCTCTTCTGCGCCTGGGTGGGGACTATCCTCTTGGTGGTGGCCACGGTGACTGACCACTGGATGCAGTACCGGCTGTCGGGGTCCTTTGCCCACCAGGGCCTGTGGCGGTATTGCCTGGGCAACAAGTGCTACCTGCAGTCGGAGAGCGTGGGTAAGGCTCTGGGCGGGCGGGGTCTGGGCTGTGCCTGGGGCAGAGGCCACAGGGCAGAACCTTATAGGCCAAGGGTGGGCTGCCCATCCCGCAGATGGAGAAACCAGTGGCTCAGAGAAGGAAAGGGTCAAGCCAAGGTCACTGAGCCCGGGAAGGGGCCAAGCTGGGGTTTCAGCATTCCTTTCCAGGGCAGGTGCAGCATGTATCGATTGAGGGGTTCAGAGGGGAGAGGGGACGTGTCCCACACAAGTCGAGGTCAGGGGGCTGTGGTCGCCAGAACAGCATTTTCTAAGTATTGATGATGGATCAAGAACTATGTCAATATGCTGAGTGACATATGTCAGGGAAAGCAAATACCGTACAATTTCACTTATACGTGGCATCTAAAAAAGAAAATAAGTGAACAAACAAAACATAAACAGACTCAGGCACAGAGAACAGACTGATGGTGGCCAGATTGGGGGGGGGGGGGGTTGCGGGTGGGGTAACAAGGTGAAGGGCTCAAGAAGTACAGGTTGGTAGCTACAAAGAAGATATGGGATGTAACGTACAGCATAGGGAGAATAGGCAGCAATAATGTGATACCTATGTAGGGTGCCAGTGGGCGCTTGAATTGTCAGGGGATCATGTCTTCAATTATATAATTCTCTAACCGCTATGTTATATACCCAAAACTGATCTATACTAATAATAGGGTAATATGCTCATTAGACTGACTGGGTCAACTGGCCATCTTCTGGGCATCCGATTTCCTTCCGGGCAAAGCCATCTTGGTGGGGGCCGAGGTAGAGGCCAGTAGGGGCAGTCAGGCTGGCTGGGGAGGGCAGTTGGGAGCAACCAGGCTGGCAGGGGAGGGCAATTAGGGGTGATGAGGCAGGCAGAGGCAGTTAGGGGTGATCAGGCCAGCAGGAGAGGGCTGTTGGGGGCAAGATCAGGCTGGCAGGGGAGGGCAGTTGGAGGCAATCGGACCTGCAGGGGAGCAGTTAGGCGTTGATCAGGCTGGCAGGGGAGTGGTTAGGAGATGACCCAGCTGGCAGGCAGAAGTGGTTAGGGGCAATCAGGCAGGCAGGCAGGTGAGCAGTTGGGAGCCAGCGGTCCCAGATTGTGAGAGGGTGCAGGCTGGGCTGAGGGACACCCCCCACCCCCAGTGCACGAATTTTGTGCACTGGATCTCTAGTATAAAATAATATTGATTGTCAACTGTAATTGGAAAAAAACAACCTGTTAGGTACTGGGGGATACAAAAGCAAGATAGACCCTAAATTTGCTAAATACTGGATGAGGTATTATACTTGCTATGTGCCAGGCTATGTAATATATATGTACAGAACTCTATGTATATGTATGTGTGTGTATGTATGTATATATTACAATATATGTTATAAATATGGGGATAAGAATAGTACTTACAGTATAGGGCTCTGGCAATGTATATTATACACATCTATACTAATAAAAGAGTAATATGCTAATTAGACCAGGAGACCTTCCGGAGACCTTCCAGACGTCCTTCTGGACAAAGCCGGGGGCTTGGCTGGCCTGCAAACTGCCCCCAAATGGCCCTCGGGGGGGGGGGGGGGGGGTGGGGGCAATCAGGCAGGCAGGCAGGTGAGTGGTTAGGAGCCAGCGGTCCTGGTTGTGAATGGATGTCTGACTGCCCACAGGGATCGGGCCTAAACTAGCAGTCGGACATCCCCCAAGGGGTCCCAGATTGGAGATGGTGCAGGCTGGGCTGAGGGACACTCCCCCTCCCGCCCATGCATGAATTTCGTGCACCGGGCCACTAGTATATTATATATGTACATGATATATTATGTCATATACTACATCTCTGTCTATGATATAGTATGTTACATAGTATACACTTTATGGAAAGAGAGAAGAATGATCCCCAGTATTCAACATCCTTTCCTTCCACATGCTTATTGAGTATCTGTCATAGGCCAGGCACCAGGTGCTGGGGACAGAGCAGTGAATGAGAAAGCAAGACCTTTGTCCTCACAGAGCTGAGAATTCCGTGGGGAGAGACAGACACTGTAAACAAGTTAAAAACAAACAAACGGGGCGTTTTCAGATATGGGCAAGTGGCACGAAGGAAATGCAATAGAGCCATGGGAGCGAGGATAAAGAACCATCAGCAGGACAACATGGGGAATCAGCATCATGCATTCACTCGCTTACCCAACAACCATTTCCCCGGGCCCCGTGCAAACCAAACCTATGCTGGCGGGTATTCGTGACATAGAATCAACCAGTCCCTGTCCTCAGGGAGCAATCGGACTGGAGGGGGAGACAGATAAAGAGTCACAACCCAGAGCAGGGGGTGAGGATGATACCTGAGTGGCAAAGGGATGCTTCCTAGAGGAGGGGATTTACAAGCTGGGTTTTGAGGGATGGATAGGAGTTGGCCAGGTGAAAAGGAGGACACTTGCTAAGATGTGAAGGAGAAGCTAGAGCAGGGATATGGAGAGGGGTAAGGCATTCCCGCTCTCAGAGGCAGCAGCTTTCACCACTGAGGGCAGGGGAGGCCCAGGAGTGACCGCCAGGTGCTCCCACAGCGTACTGGAATGCCACCCGGGCCTTCATGATCCTGTCCTCCCTGTGTGCCACCTCTGGCATCATCATGGGCATCCTGGCCTTCGCTCAGCAGCCCACCTTCACCCGCCTCTCCCGGCCTTTTTCCACCGGCATCATGTTTTTCGCCTCCGGTGAGTGGACCCGCCCTACCCTCTCCCTCTCCCTACTCCCTGCCCTTCCCCAACCCCAACCCATCCCCACCCCCAACACCACTCTCATCCCAGACTCCTCACTCTCAACCCCACCCCCACCCTCATCCCAACCCCAAAACCAACACCAACACCCAGGCCGTTTCTGATTCCACCTATTCGGACATTGCAATTCAGTTCTGGCATTAGCGTCAGACTCCATAGGCGTAAGGGCACGGCTCCCAACAAGACTGCCCCGACTTCAGCTGCAAGTGGGGTCCCCAAGCCACCTGCGTTTTTGACCAACTGGCTACCAATTTGAGGGTTCCAGGACCCACTCAGGTTTGAACGTTTTTGTTAGAACAACTCACCAAACTCAGAAAAGCACTGTACTTAACAAGGACAGTTTTATTATAAAGGGGTGGGGAACGTTTGGCCCGCGGGTCACATGTCTCAGGCCCCCGAAATCATTAGGTCTGGCCCTGCCCAGGCATTAGGGGTGAGTTAATTACATGTTTGAGCAAATACAGCAGGCTAATTTTTAAGCTGATCATTTTGTATGGCCTGCGAATGATGTTATACGTATCCAAATGGCCCTTGGCAGAAAACAGGTTCCCCACCCCCTGTTATAAGGGATCAACTCAAGACCAGCCAAATAAACAGACGCAGAAGGAGATGCCTGAGAGGGACTGGCACCCTCCCCACCCCCCACCCCACACACACCCCCACCCGCCTCACACACCCATTTGTTCAGGAACCAGGAAGCTCCCAGCACTTGGCCTCCAGTGACTGAATCACTGGACATGTGATTGGACTCAACCTCCTCCCCCTCCCCTCCCCAGAGGGGCTGACATCAACCAGCTCAAAGCCTCAACTTTCCGTTCTGGTTGGTGGTTGGTCTTTCTGGCGACCAGCTCCCTTCCTGAGTCATCATCTCAGCTCAACAACAGGTGTGATCCCAGAGGCTTAACAATGTCAAAGACACTCATAACTCAGGAAGTTTCCAGGACGTGGAGTCCTCCCAGGAACCAGAGACAAAGGCCAATCAGATTCTCTACGACATAGCACAGCCCTGCCCCAGCTCCACCCCAGCCCCACCCCTCCCTGTCCACCTGTCCTCCCACTTTCAACTCAACCCTGTCCTCACCAGATCCCCATCCCCACCCCGCCCACCCCACCCTACCTTACCCCGCTCCTCAATCTCACGTCCACCCCCATCTCCAAGCCCAACTTCATCCCAGTTTCCACCCCGCCCTCCTTCCCCAGCTATTTTTGTCCTGCTGGCCTTGGCCATTTACACCGGAGTCACCGTCAGCTTCTTCGGCCGCCGTTTCGGGGACTGGCGCTTTTCCTGGTCTTACATCCTGGGCTGGGTGGCCCTGCTCATGACCTTCTTTGCAGGTACCTGGGCTTGGGGGTGGGGAGGGCGGTGTCTGGGATGAGCAAGCATACTCCCCAGGGTGAGATGATAGGGTGTCTCCCATGGGCTCCCAGCACCCAGGCAGAAGGCAGACTCCAGATTCTGTGGACACCCAGGGGGCTTGAGAGGCGGTTCGGGGTGGGAGGGTGGGGTGGGGGGTGGGGGGGTGGTGGAGTGTCCATGGGGATCTTTTCTCGCACAGGAATTTTCTACATGTGTGCCTACCGGATGAATGAATGTCGGCGCCAGTCCACTCCCCGCTGAGCCCAGGGGTATCCACCAACTTCATTGGGAAGTTAAAATGAGGTCGCTGAGGAGGAGGGGGAGGGTCTAGAGGCCTGAAATCCTGGTTCCTGGGGGTATGAGGGGGCTCGGTCCTGGACTCTGGGTGGGGGCCCCTAACCCCTGGGTCCCACGTGGAAGGAGAAAGAATGGGGTCTGGTGGGAGGGACCTGAGAAGACTCAAGGCTCCACCCCCAGGGAGATGGGGTGGGGAGGGGGAAGGGGGGGGGTGTTTGAGAAATGGAATATCTATTAGAGCGATTTTTTGGATTCTAATAAAACTGATGTGAAACTACCACAGGGTGACTCCCTAAGGAGTGGGGGTGAGTGTGGCGAATGGGGGGTGTATGATGGCAACCCAACCTGCTGTTTCTGTAGACACAGGGACAGAGATGAGTCATGCAGCCCCCACACAGGTGACAATTCAACATCTAGGAAACGGGTGGGTAAGTCCCACTCTGACAACAATTCCAATGGGTATTTTTTCTTCCAGGCAATGAATTCAATTCGGACATTATCTACCTGGAGATACTATCAGATCCCACAGGTTAAGGGCTCAGTCCTGCAAGACTGCACCCCCCCCCCCCTTCAGATGCCAATCATAGCCTACCAGCTTCTGACCACCAGCTATAGGTTGGAGGTTCCCATGACCCACTCCTCAGGTTCCATTAATTTCTTAGAGCTGCTCACAGAACTCAGAGAAACATGTTCCTTACTACTTTGCCAGGTTATTATAGAAGGACATAACGCAGGAGCAGCCAGATGGAAGAGATGCACAGGGCCAGGTGTGGGGAAGGGACTCAGAGCTTCCATATCAGTGACGGCGAACCTTTTGAGCTCGGCGTGTCAGCATTTGGAAAAACCCTAACTTAACTCTGGTGCCGTGTCACATGTAGAAATTTTTTGATGTTTGCAACCATAGTAAAAACAAAGATTTACATGTTTGATATTTATTTTATATATTTAAATGCCATTTAACAAAGAAAAACCAACCAAAAAAATGAGTTCGCGTGTCACCTCTGACAGGCGTGGCATAGGTTCGCCATCACTGTTCTATATCCTCTCTGAAGTCACCACTCTCCCCAAATCTCCCAGTGTTCACCACCCCTGAAACTCCCCGAGGAGGTTGCATGACACACGTGTGATTGATGAAATCCTTGGCCATTGGTGAGTGAACTCAACCTCCGGCTCCTCTCCCCTCCCCAGAGGTCAGGGGCTGGGACTGAGAGTTCCAACCCTCTAAGCCAGTGGTTCTCAACCTTGGCTGCACATTAGAATCACCTGGGAATCTTTTTAAAATCCTGATTTCTGGGCCTCATCCTCCGGAAATTCTTTGTTACTAATGTGGTGGCCTCACCCCATAACAAAGAAACAGAATTTCTGGAGGATGAGGCCCAGAAATCAGGATTTTATTTCATTTTTTTTTAAAAAATATATTTTATTGATTTTTTACAGAGAGGAGGGAGAGGGACAGAGAGTTAGAAACATCGATCAGCTGCCTCCTGCACACCCCCTACTGGGGATGTGCCGGCAAGCAAGGTACATGCCCTTGACCGGAATCGAACCTGGGACCCTTCAGTCCGCAGGCCGACGCTCTATCCACTGAGCCAAACCGGTTAGGGCCAGAAATCAGGATTTTAAAAAGATTCCCAGGCGATTCTAATGTGCAGCCAAGGTTGAGAACCACTGCTCTAAGCACATGTTGGCTCCCCTGGCAACCATTCCCCCATCCTTAAGTGGGGCCCAAAAGTCACCTCATTTGCATCTTAATGGCTTCCGTGATTGGGAAATTCCAGGGCTTTTAGGAGCTGCCATAATCAGGACCCCCAGATCAAACACACATTTCTTATTAGAATTCACAATATTGCTGAACCGGTTTGGCTCAGTGGATAGAGTGTCGGCCTGCGGACTGAGGGGTCCCGGGTTCGACTCCGGTCAAGGGCATGTACCTTGGTTGCGGGCACATCCCCGGTTGGGGGCATGCAGGAGGCAGCTGATCGATCTCTCTCATCGATGTTTCTAGCTCTCTATCCCTCTCCCTTCTTCTCTGTAAAAAATCAATAAAATATATTTAAAAAAATATTTTTTTAAAAAAAGAAAGAAATCACAATATCACAGTAGGATGATAGGATAAATAGAGAGCTCAGTGGGAAAAAAATAAACTAGCTTCCTTGTCCACCTGCCCCCTCACCCCTCCATCTCTAGTTGGCTCTCCCAACCTCCTCTCCGGTCCCCAATGGGCTCCAGAACTCTGACCCTTCACCTCCTTCACCCACCTCTTCACACGCTAATCATGAGCTTGACCTTGACCTTGTCTTCATTTGCTCAGTCACCCAATAAACGGATGTCGACTGCCATGACATGTACTGACGCCAATCATAAAATAATAAGGCTATTTAGCACGGGCAATTTCAGTAATATTTATCACCGCCTATGCTATTATTAATAGAGGCTGACTCCCTAGAAATACGATTTATTGGGGCCTCCTCAAATCACAATAATGCTATGTTTATAGAGGCTTCGTCCAAAAAATAATGGCAATTGAGGCCTTCTCTAATCCTACTTGACTGAGGCCTCGTTAAGTAGAAATATTTACTGGGGCTTAGTATTCCGGCAATCATATTTATGGGGGCTTACTCTAGCAATGATGATGTTGTAACTGCAGGCTCATACCTCCAACTTCTTACTCAGCCTTTCCACTCGAAAAAAAGAGGCACCTCACGCCTCACCTATCTGACGCCGGGTTCCTGGTCCCGCTCACACCCCACTCCTGCTCCTCCCATGGTCTCCCCATCTTGGTAAAGGACAGCTCCGTTTTTATCCAGCTGCTTTCTCTGTCACATTCCACATCTGATTCATCAGCCAAGAGTGTTGGCTCTATCTTTAAAATGTGTCTGGGAATTTGACTCTTGCTTCACCAGTGATCACCCTAATGCAAGCCACCGTCCGTCGTCTGTCACCTGGTTTATTGCCACACCCTCCTAACCAGCTCAGCCCTTACCCCGCCTGCCCTCCTGCACCTACAATTCATTTTCTATGCAGCATCTGGAGAAATCTTTATTAAAATCATGTCACTCCTGCCCTGGCCGGTGTTCCTCAGAGGCTAGCATTGGCTCGCACACCAAACGGTGGCGGGTTCGATTCCTGTTAAAGGGCAAGTAGTACCTGGATTGCAGGAGGAAAACAATCACTGTGTCTATCTCACATCGATGTTTCTCTCTCCTTCTCTCCTCATTCCCTTCCACTTTCTCTAAAAATCAATGGGAAAAAATATCCTCAGGTGATGACAACAAAAAATAAATCATGTCACTCCCACTCTAAGCCCTCCAGTGGCTCCAATTTCAGGTAAAAAAAAAAACAACTAAAGTCTAGCCAAAGCCGGTTTGGCTCAGTGGATAGAGCGTCGGCCTGCGGACTGAAGGGTCCCGGGTTCGATTCCGGTCGAGGGCATGTACCTGGGTTGCGGGCATATCTCCAGTGGGAGATGTGCGGGAGGCAGCTGATCGATGTTTCTCTCTCATCGATGTTTCTAACTCTCTATATCTCTCCCTTCCTCTCTGTAAAAAATCAATAAAATATATAAAAAAAAACAAAAAAAAAAAACAAAACAACTAAAGTCTTTCCAGATCATTCAAAATGCCATGTGCTCTGGCCCTGCTAACTCTCTGAGTTAATCCCCCTCTACTCACTACAGTTCAGGGGTCCCCGAGACCACCCCTGGGTTCAATGAGTTGCTAGAAGGACTCACAGAGCTCAGGAAAACGGTTGCACTCACAGTCAATTTATTACAGCGAAAGGGTACAGTTTAACATCAGCAAAGCAAGGAGCGGCATCCAAGTGAGACCAGGCACCACCAGGTCCCAGTTGTCTCCCCGAGGGGAGTCGTACGGACAGCACTTACTTCTCCCAGCAATGATGCGTGAGGACACCCAACAGAGTCCTGCAAACGGGAGAAGCTCACCCAAACCCTGGTGTCCAGGGTTCTCAGGGGGGGTCAGGCAAGAAGCACCCCCATGGCTGGCCTTAGTTATTCAGTTTCCAAGCATCTCCAGGGGTCAAACGGATATAGTAGACCCCCCCCTCCCCCCGCAACCACATTGATAGCATAAACTATCTGGTGTGGCCCAAGGACTCCAGGTAAACAGAGACACTTAGCAGACATGAGGTTCCTCCCAGGACCAGGCAAGGTCAACCTTTCGTTGGTCAATGGTAGTGGTGGGACTTAGGGAGATGAGAAACAGTTACAGCCTTGAACTTGGAAAATGGGATGAACATGAAATGGGGTGGAGTTGAGGTAGGACTTATAGGGGTTGGGGGGGAAGTATAAGGAAGGAAGTGGATGTGGGACTGGGGCTGGAGCTGGGATTGGAAACCGTCTGGTGTGAGGATGGCAATGAGGATCGGGTTAAGTCTCAGGATGAGGACGGGTTTGGGTTTGTAGATGGGGATGGGGTGCGTTTGGGGTCGGGTTTGCCAATAAGAATGGGGTTAGGTGGTGGGATAGGGCTGGTGTTAAGTTAGGGATTGGAGCTGGGGTTCAGAGATGGGTTGTGTTTGGGGTTGGGACGGGATTGGTTCAGAGCTGGTTTGGAGAATTGGGTTGGGGTTGGAGCTGAAATTATTCATGGGGTTGAGAGAGGGTTAGGACTGGGTTGAGCTGGGATTGGGCTCAGAGGTGGGTTTGGACGTGAGCATGGGTTTAGGTGGGGAATTGGGGTGGGGTTGAGTTTGGGGTTGGAGCTGGGATTGAGAATGAGTTAGGTTTGCAAATGAGGAGGGGGTTGGACTGGGTGATAGGGATGCGGTTAGGATGGGGGTGCGTTGGGGGATGGGGTCAAGGTTGCAGCTGGGCTCTGTGCTCGGACCTTCCCCACACCACACGCCCATGGCCCAGGCATCCTGAGGCCTGTCCAGCGCTCCTCACGGGAGCCATGTCCACGGCCATTTTTGCGCTGCTCTCCCTCCTGCTCATGACCTGGATCTGGCCCTGGGAGCCTGTCCTTGAGGCCAGGTTCTCCGAAATGGCCAGTTACCTTACTGGTGAGGGTTTGAGTGAAGGACGGGGGCCTGCCAACTGGAGACTCCAATATAGGAAGAGGTCCGGCCAGCTGGGTCCCGGGGTCCCCCTTCTCCAGCTGTCCTGGGACTGCTGGCTCCATTTGTCTACACATCAGAGGTCCTCTTCAGGGCCATTCCAGCTCCACAGCGGTCAAGTTTGCCTGGGCCTTCTCCCTGGGCTGTGGCACCTTAACCTTCTACCTGCTCACAGGTGAGGTGCGGCCCAGGGCCTGATACTGGTGTGGGAGGAAGACGCTTGGAGGGCCGGAGGGCCCTGCATTGACATCCCTGGGCCCCTGGCAGGTACCGTGACCCTCATGGTCAAGCCGGCCATGCTCAGAGCGGGGCTGTGTGAACCGACACATCAGAGGAGGAGGTGGGTGTGTTTTCCCCTCCACAGACTTTTACAATCCTGATTCTCTTCCTTCTGCCTGCCCTGAGGGAGGCCCTGGAGGGGCCCTCATTCAGGTCCCCCCAAGGTGCAGGCCCATCCCCCAGCACCCCTGCCTGGGACAGTGAGACTGTCCCCACAGGAGTCACTGATCAGGAACCCCCTACCTTCCAGAGACCTCCATCACCCAGTGGGATGTCCCTTTGGCCTGTCCAGTACGCTCCCCACACCACACCTACACCCCCCCACTTGTGTGACTCACAGTAGCTCCCAGGGCGTCCTGGAAGCAGGTGCGGGGGGGGGGGGGTGTGTCAGGCTCTGTGAGGCAGCAGGAGTTCCAGAACCCCCTCTCCCAGCGGCCATTTAAAGAGATAACCACCCACCCACCTGTCCACACAGGCATCTCCCAGCAAAGGGGCAGCTCAAAGCCAGATGGTAGGTCTGTATGGAGCCTGGGGTCCAGGACATGGTAGAACACGTCCTTCTCAAAACTTCTCTTCCCTTGACCCATAAGCACTCCTGGTCCCCAGATCTGACTGTCCCTTCCAGACCCCCACCCAGGCTCCTGCCCTTCCTGCTCCCTGCATCCTGTACCTTCTACCAGCTTCAGTGGCCACGATGCTCTGAGGCCATCCCAGGCTCCATCGCTAGCCCTGGTCTCTCTCCCGAACCTTGGCCTGGAGCCCTCACCTGCTTCTGGCCATCTCCCTGCACTCAACACCTCCCGCCTGAACTCAGCATCCTCCACCAAACCAGGAATGACCCCACCCTCTCACTCCTTGGCACTGTCCTTGCCCCCTTCTTGCTCTTCACCCCACAAAGCCCTTGGATCCCCAAGGCCGAGTCCTCCTGCTCCCTGAATCTTTCTGGCTACCTCCCTCCTTTCCACCTCATGCCCTGTTGCCTGTCAGCCCTCGTCATCACTCATGTCCTACCTGTTGGTAGCATTGCCAAGCTCCTTTCTTCCTCTTGGCCTCTCCAGAGACCTCAGAGAGGGCTTGCTGGCCCTGGGGGCTGACACTGCCCTGCCCCTGCTCTCCTCCTGGCTCCCCAGCCCCCTTGAGAGAAAGTCAGCTGTGGCTTTAGGGGTCCTGGCTCCCACCCACCACCCCATTCTCATTTCCTCCCTCCCGCCCCACAGCCCACTTCCAGCCTTTTCATGCCTCCGTCTCGGCATCCCTCCTCCTGGATTCCCTTTCCTTGGCCCTCAAGAAGTCCCTAAACACCCTCTCCCCAGGGAGCTCACCTCCACCCCCCACCACACCATCACCCTTTGTCCCACATCCTTCCTGGGCTGTGCCTGTCCCCTGGCCTGTGTTACCTCCTCTTCCCCACCTGACTTGCAACCCCCCTCCATGGGCATCACCTGGATTTGACTCCTGTCAGCATTCCCAGCCCCCAGCGAGGCCCAGCAGAAAGGATGTGCTTCGGGAAAGCCAGCAGAAGGAAAGAATGAATTACTGAGATGAGCAAGGAGAATTACAGCACAGGTGAGGGGCCGAGAGGGAGTGAGGAGGAAAGTGCTGGAGCCAGAAAGGCATAGGGAAGAGCAGAGAAAGGGGGACGAAGAGGAGAGATGGAAACAGATGACAGAGAGTGGCCAGAGAAGCGGGGAGAGGATGTGGGCAGTGCCCAAATCCACACTGGGTTGGGGCCCTTGGGGAGCAGATCGAGGTTTCAGATTCTTTTCTGGGTGCCCAGTGTCGCCCACCAGGGAGCTGGTGCGCCATTGGCTTGTGTCCTGGTTGAATTAATCTCAAAATAACCAGACTGCAGCAAATCATTGTTGAAAGAATGAATAAACAAACAATGGGGCTATGGAAGGGCTGGGGGCGAGGGCCGAGGGAGGGCCAGGTGATCCCATGGCTCCGGATGATGCTTGGATGATGCTTTCCAACCCACTTGCTGTCCTCACCTTCGCCTCACATGTTGGGCTCACACTTCGTCATAGCCAGGCCGAGGGGCACGGGAGTGAGCGACCAGACCCAGGCTACCTGGGGTGGCAGAGGGAGGTTAGTTAGCACTTGTCCCCGCCCCCACCTGCTCCCACAGAGCCCCCAGTGGGCCCTCCCCAACTCCCGAGGCAACAGTCACCTGCGCTGTACCAGAGGAGAGCCGCAACCCAGCCCAGGTAGAAGGACCAGGAGAAGGAGGACTGGATCTGGGGGTGTCGAGGTTGGCTCCACCAATCACTGGTGTAGACGGCCATGGCCACCACCATGAAGAGGGCTGAGACAAGAGACAAGGAGACTGGTCAGCACCTCTGCGGGAATTCACAGTCCCCAAGGCCCACGGCCAGTCCACATTCCTTACCTGCAACAAAGGCTGTGATGGACGAGGCCAGGAGGCCGCGGCGCAGGACCGACAGTGAGGGGATGCAGGACAGGACCAGGAGGCCCACAGACCCCAGGCCACACAGGGCAGCCAGAATGCTGAAGGTCTGTGTCACGTGGATGAAGTCTGCTCAGAGAGGAGACCTGTGAGGACCTGTCCCCTCTGGCTCTTCTCCCCTGTCCCCCAGACAAGACACGCCACTCCCCCTTACCTGCTACTAACTCCTCATCCCTCTTCGGCCAGAGGCCCGAGTGAGCTGAAGAGCCGGGCCCGATGGCCACCAACCAGAAATCCGTGCTCAGAGCAACCAGGGCAGAGACCAGGGCCAGGGAGCCGGCCAGCAGGGCCAGGGACCGCCAGGGCTCCATGGGGGTAAGCGCTGGGCTCCTGGGTCTCTGAGAGAAGAGGCTGTGGACCCAGACTCTTGGGTCCTCTGAGCCCCCCCCAAAAAGCAAAGAAGTCAGCAAGCAGTTGAGGCAACTTGGGGGGGGGGGGGGCTGGGCTCCTTAGGACCAGACTGGTTCTGTTTTACCCATTTCAGTTCCTGGCAACGGATTCTCACACACCCTCCCTTCCTGGGTTGTCTCCCCTCCCCGAGGTCCTGGTCCCCCACTCACAGTGTGTGGTGGGGCAGGGTGTCACCGGTGGTTTGGTCGGTGGTTCAGAACCTGCCTCGCTATCTCAGGTCTGTAGCTCTTACCCTCGGAGCCTTGCTCAACACTAGAGGGGGGGCTTCCCGGAAGAGATGACAGGCTTGGGGGCTCAGAGGTAGGGTTGGCACATGAGGCCAGGGTGTGAGTTCAACGAGGGGAGGGATGTGGCCACAGGGGACAGTTGGGGGATGTGTCATGTCTTCCTGTGAGTGCTGCAACTTTCCGTTGTGAGAGAGGCGGGGCCCCCACTCTAAGGCCTCCATGATGCCTGGGGCTGAAGGATAAAGGAGCTGGAGATGTGGACACCAGGTCCTGAGGGAGGAGGGGGTAGGTGGGCAGGTGGCCGGTTCCTGGGCCCCTGCTTTGCAGCGCATGCTCAGGGCAGGCAGAAGGGAGAGAATCAGGATTGTAAAAGTCTGTGGAGGGGAAAACACGCCCACCTCCTCCTCTGATGTGTCGGTTCACACAGCCCCGCTCTGAGCATGGCTGGCTGGATCATGAGGGTCACCGTACCTGCCAGGGGCCCAGGGATGTCAATGCAGGGCCCTCCGGCCCTCCAAGCGTCTTCCTCCCACACCAGTATCAGGCCTTGGGCCGCACCTCACCTGTGAGCAGGTAGAAGGTGAAGGTGCCACAGCCCAGGGAGAAGGCCCAGGCAAACTTGACCGCTGTGGAGCTGGAATGGCCCTGAAGAGGACCTCTGTTGTGAAGACAAACCTGAGACAGCGAGGCAGGTTCTGAACCACTGGCCAAACCACCGATGACACCCTGCCCCACCACACACTGTGAGTGGGGGACCAGGACCTCAGGGAGGGGAGACGTCATCGGTACAACCCAGGAAGGGAGGGTGTGTGAGAATCTGTTGCCAGGAACTGAAGTGGGTGAAACAGAACCAGTCTGGTCTTAAGGAGCCCCCGAGTTGCCTCAACTGCTTGTTGGCTTCTTTGCTTTTGGGGGTGCTCAGATGACCCAAGAGTCTGGGTCCACAGCCTCTTCTCTCAGAGACCCAGGAACCCAGCGCTCACCCCCATGGAGCCCTGGCGGTCCCTGGCCCTGCTGGCCGGCTCCCTGGCCCTGGTCTCTGCCCTGGTTGCTCTGAGCACGGATTTCTGGTTCGTGGCCATCGGGCCCGGCTCTTCAGCTCACTCGGGCCTCTGGCCGAAGAGGGGTGAGGACTTAGTAGCAGGTAAGGGGGAGTGGTGTGTCTTGTCTGGGGGACAGGGGAGAAGAGCCAGAGGGGACAGGTCCTCACAGGTCTCCTCTCTGAGCAGACTTCATCCACGTGACGCAGACCTTCAGCATTCTGGCCGCCCTGTGTGGCCTGGGGTCTGTGGGCCTCCTGGTCCTGTCCTGCATCCCCTCACTGTCCGCCCCGGGCCGCGGCCCCCTGGTCTCGTCCATCACAGCCTTTGTTGCAGGTAAGGAATGTGGACTGGCCGTGGGCCTTCGGGACTGTGAATTCCCGCAGAGGCGCTGAGCAGTCTCCTTGTCTCTTGTCTCAGCCCTCTTCATGGTGGTGGCCATGGCCGTCTACACCAGTGATTGGTGGAGCCAACCTCGACACCCCCAGATCCAGTCCTCCTTCTCCTGGTCCTTCTACCTGGGCTGGGTTGCGGCTCTCCTCTGGTTCAGTGCAGGTGACTGTTGCCTCGGGAGTTGGGGAGGGCCCACTGGGGGCTCTGTGGGAGCAGGTGGGGGCGGGGACAAGTGCTAACTAAGCTCCCTCTGCCACCCCAGGTAGCCTGGGTCTGGTCGCTCACTCCCGTGCCCCTCGGCCTGGCTATGACGAAGTGTGAGCCCAACATGTGAGCCGAAGGTGAGGACAGCAGGTGGGTTGGAAAGCATCATCCAAGCATCATCCGGAGCCATGGGATCACCTGGCCCTCCCTCGGCCCTCGCCCCCAGCCCTTCCATAGCCCCATTGTTTGTTTATTCATTCTTTCAACAATGATTTGCTGCAGTCTGGTTATTTTGAGGTTAATTCAACCACGGCACAAGCCAATGGTGCGCCAGCTCCCCGGTGGGCGACACTGGGCACCCAGAAAAGAATCTGAAACCTCGATCTGCTCCCCAAGGGCCCCCACCTAGTGTGGATTCGGGCACTGCCCACATCCTCTCCCGGCTTCTCTGGCCATTGTCTGTCATCTGTTTCCATCTCTCCTCTTCGTCCCCCTTTCTCTGCTCTTCCCTATGCCTTTCTGGCTCCAGCACTTTCTTCCTCACTCCCTCTGGGCCCCTCACCTGTGCTGTAATTCTCCTTGTTCATCTCAGTAATTCATTCTTTCCTTCTGCTGGCTTTCCCCAAGCACATCCTTTCTGCTGGGCCTCGCGTGGGTCCGGGGGTGATGACAGAAGTCAGATCCAGGTGATGCCCATGGAGGGGGGTTGCAAGTCAGGTGGGGAAGAGGAGGTAACACAGGCCAGGGGACAGGCACAGCCCAGGAAGGATGTGGGACAAAGGGTGATGGTGTGGTGGGGGGTGGAGGTGAGCTCTCTGGGGAGAGGGTGTTTAGGGACTTCTTGAGGGCCAAGGAAAGGGAATCCAGGAGGAAGGATGCCGAGACGGAGGCATGAAAAGGCTGTGGGGTGGGAGGGAGGAAATGAGAATGGAGTGGTGGGTGGGAGCCAGGACCCCTAAAGCCACAGCTGACTTTCTCTCAAGGGGGCTGGGGAGCCAGGAGGAGAGCAGGGGCGGGACAGTGTCAGCCCCCAGGGCCAGCAAGCCCTCTCTGAGGTCTCTGGAGAGGCCAAGAGGAAGAAAGGAGCTTGGCAATGCTACCAACAGGTAGGACATGAGTGAGGACGAGGGCTGACAGGCAACAGGGCATGAGGTGGAAAGGAGGGAGGTAGCCAGAAAGATTCAGGGAGCAGAAGGACCCGGCCTTGGGGATCCAAGGGCTTTGTGGGGTGAAGAGCAAGAAGGGGGCAAGGACAGTGCCAAGGAGTGAGAGGGTGGGGTCATTCCTGGTTTGGTGGAGGATGCTGAGTTCAGGCGGGAGGTGTTGAGTGGGGGGAGATGGCCAGAAGCAGGTGAGGGCTCCAGGCCAAGGTTCGGGAGAGAGACCAGGGCTAGCGATGGAGTCTGGGATGGCCTCAGAGCATCGTGGCCACTGAAGCTGGTAGAAGGTACAGGATGCAGGGAGCAGGAAGGGCAGGAGCTTGGTTGGGGGGTCTGGAAGGGACAGTCAGATCTGGGGACCAGGAGTGCTTATGGGTCAAGGGAAGAGAAGTTTTGAGAAGGACGTGTTCTACCATGTCCTGGTCCCCAGGCTCCATACAGACCTACCATCTGGCTTTGAGCTGCCCCTTTGCTGGGAGATGCCTGTGTGGACAGGTGGGTGGGTGGTTATCTCTTTAAATGGCCGCTGGGAGAGGGGGTTCTGGAACTCCTGCTGCCTCACAGAGCCTAACCCAGCCTCTCTTCCCCCACCCCCGCTGCACCTGCTTCCTGGAAGCCCTGGGAGCTGGCTGTGAGTCACACAAGTGGGGGTGTGGGGGTGTGTTGTGGGGAGCGCACTGGACAGGCCAAAGGGACATCCCACTGGGTGATGGAGGTCTCTGGAAGGTAGGGGGGTTTCTGATCAGTGACTCCTGGGATGATGGTCTCACTGTCCCAGGCAGGGGTGCTGGGGGAAGGCCTGCAGCATGGGGGGGGGGGAGGACCTGAAGGAGGACACCTCGAGGTCCCCAGAAGCAGGGGTCCCAGGCAGGGGTGTCAGGGCAGCCGGCTGGGATGTGGAGAGACATCTGGGAGGGGCTCTCAGGGACCCTGGAGGGGGCCTCGGGGTGGGAGGGGTGTTGTCCAATCTAGCGTATGTGGCTTCTGCAGCAGCCCCCCTGGCATGGGGGTGAAGCGGAGCCTTCAGTGCGGGGGCACCCTGCTGGGCCTCTTGGCCAACATCTTCACGGTGCTCTCCACAGCTACCAACTACTGGATTCGCTTTCCCACGGGACACAGCGGCCTGTGGCAGGACTGTACCCAGGGCACCTGCTCTAATATGCCCTGCCAGTGTGAGGCCCAGGCCGTCCAGATAGTGTCAGCCCCCCAGCCCCCCCAGCCCCCACTACACAGACAGCCCCAGCACTGCCCACAGCGGGCCCCTCCCCTGACCCAACAGCTGGGCACACCCTGGGAGGCCCCCACCCCACCCCCTCCCCTCCAGCCTCAGATCTAGCTGCCCCTAGGTGACCGAGGCTACCACCAACATGACCACATCCCCTCATGACAACTTCCATGTCCCCATCAACGCCCGCCCCCCCGCCCCGCCACGACTCTGCTGCCAGCCCTGTGCCAGTGGGTGGGGGCGGTGGCCAGGGCGGCGCTGGCTGCTCGGGGCTGAGGCGGCGGCTCTCCCCAGTCATGCTGGAGGTGACCGGGGCGTGCATGGTGCTGGGGGCCGCCTTCAGCATCGTGGGCTTGGTGACGGCGCTGAGGATCCTGTGTCGGGAGGGCAACTCACCGGGCCGGACTACGAGCACTGTCTTCTTCTTCTGCGGTGAGACAGGACCAGCCCCCCAGGCAGGGGACAGGGGTCCCCCATGGGTCTCGACTCAGGGCCTTGGAAAGGAGCCAAGGAGAGGGGCTGGCGACCCCAAGGATTCTGGGAACACAGCTGGAGAGGGTGGGGCTAGGGGCGGGACCCGGAGGAGGTGGGCGAGGTCTTCTGCAGCTGAGCGGTCCGGAGGGGGCGTGGCCAGGACGGTGGGCGCGATCTGGGTGGGGCCTGGGTGCAGCCCCGCCCCCTCCGGGTCACGCTTATCTGAAGGGTGGGCGTGGTCAGGACGGTGGGCGCGGTCTGGGTGGGGCCTGGGTGCAGCCCCCCCCTCCAGGCCACGCTCATCTGGCGGGTGGGCGGGGCCAGGCCTCCTGCTGCTGATGGCTTTGACAGGCTACACCGTGAAGAATGCGTGGAAAAACGACGTCTTCTTCTCCTGGTCCTATTTTTTGGGGTGGATGGCTGTACCTTTCTATATTCTCGCGGGTAACTTGGACAGCGGGAAGGGGATGGAGGAGAATACACGGGGGGACCCTCCTCCCCGCACAGACTGCCCAGCCGCCCTTCCAGGAAACCCCACTCTGACCTCCCGGCTTTCATAGACCCGACAGAGATGCCCGAGGAGCGCCCCCCCCGCCCCCCAAAAACCCAGGCCCCTCCCGCCACCCGCCCCTGGGCCCACCCACTCCTCCCGCGCTGCTCTCCCTCCCGCCAGGCTTCTGCTTTCTGCTGGTGGACATGATCCTGCAGAGTACGGATGCCATCAGCGGGTTCCCCGTGTGCTTGTGACCGCAGCCTGCCTGGGGCAGAATAAAGGACCCGCTTAGCTTCCACCGCTGGCTCCGCCTCCCTTTCTGGGGATGCGAGGACACGGACACGGGCCACTTGCACACACGTGGGAACGTGGCAATGAAGAACATGGGATGGGGGCTCAGGACACGAGGGTCCATAGAGGTTCAGGGAGGACATAAGGACATGAACCTATAGGGCAGCGGTTCTCAACCTCTGGGTCACGACCCATTTGGGGGTCGAGCGACCTTTTCACAGGGGTCGCCTAAGACCATCGGAAAACATATAATTACATATTGTTTTTCTGATAAATCACTATGCTTTATGTTCAATTTATAACAATGAAAATACATCCTGCATATCAGATATTTATGATTCATAACAGTAGCAAAATTACAGTTATGAAGTAGCAACGAAAATAATTTTATGGTTGGGGGTCGCCACAACATGAGGAACTGCATTAATGGGTCGCGGCGTTAGGAAGGTTGAGAACCGCTGCTATAGGGAATGTGGAGACCCGGCGGACCCCGCATGGAGACACGAACATGGAGTGGACAAAGGACGCCGGGATGCGGCCGGAGCTGATTTGGCACAGTGGATAGAGCGTCGGCCCGCGAATTGATGGGTCCCGGGTTCGATTCCGGTCCAAGGCACGGACCTCGGTTGCAGGCTAGATCTCCACCCCAGGGCAGGGTGCGTGCGGGAGGCAACTGATCCATGTGTCTCTCTCACATAATGTTTCTCTGTTTCTCCTCCTGCCCCTCGGGGGAGGATTAACAACAGCAACAAAAAAGGCCCTAACCGGTTTGGCTCAGTGGATAGAACGTCGGCCTGCGGACTGAAGGGTCCCAGGTTCGATTCCGGTCGAGGGCGTGTGCCTTGGTTGCGGGCACATCCCCAGTAGGGAGTGTGCAGGAGGCAGCTGATCGATGTTTCTAACTCTCTATCCCACTCCCTTCCTCTATGTAAAATCAATAAAATATATTTTTTTAAGAAGGGACATGGATGTGGCGGGGAACGGGGACACGGGGAGCATGGGGAGGATGTAGAGCAAACACGGAAGGATTCAGGGGCGTGGGGACACTGGCGCTGCGACTTTGAGACGCGAGGAAGACACGGGGAACTGGGGCAGGGGTAGGTCGGAGGACGCTGGGGAAAACGTAGAACGCCTGGCGCCTTCCCCGCTCCGCTCCCTCCCCCGGGAGCGACCTTTCCCCTAGTTCCCGGCCACGCCCCCTTCCCAAGCCCTCGTCGCTTATCTCCGGGTTCCGCCTCTCCCTCTGGAATCCGCTTCCCATTGGTCCTCATCCGCTTGACACACCTCCCTCACTCCGGCCTTCCGATTGGTCCTTTGTTGGGGCGGAGGCGGGCACCGCAGAGGTGACTGGCTGGCGGCCCGGGCGCAGGCGCAGAGCAGGACGAGGAGGCGGGGCCTCACGGCCTAGGGCCGGGAGGGTGCGGCTTGACCCCGCAGGTGGCCGCGGCTGGAAGATGGCGGAGCTGCGCGCGCTGGTGGCTGTCAAGAGGGTCATCGACTTTGCCGTGAAGGTGACCGGGCCCCCCTCTCCCACCTCCCCGTGCCCCGCGGCCGTGTGCTTCCGGGGTCACGAGCGCACCTTGTATGGGGGGGGTCTTCTCGTAACCTCTGATCTCTGCCCTCTCGCCCTCCCCCCCCAGCCCCCTCAAACGTCAAAGTCACACCTGAGGGCACAGATCCAGAGACTGTGAGGTTCTGACAGCCGCTCGTACCTCCGGGGTTAGGACCCGATTCCTTTCCTCCGGTTCTGAACTCACTGCCTGAACAATTGCGTGCAGGGCGAGTGACCGCCTCTGTTTCTGACCCGCTGGTGGAGTCGAGCTCCCTGTTTAACACGCGGAGAAACTGAGGCACAGAGCGGTCCCTGGGCCGGGAAGGGACGGAGCCGAGGTTCCCGTCCAGGCCCGTCGGCGCCTCTCCCCAGCCAGGGCTCTGCACACAAGCCATGCTGCCACCCGCCGGCGGCCTTGCAAACCCACGGACTGTATGCACCGCAGAGCGGGCATCGTGCTGCCCTGGAGCTCAGACAAGGTGCCCAGGGAACCCAGATCTGTGCCACCTGCATAGCGGGAAGGCGGGAAAAGTGCTCCCTGCAGCCGAAAGCCAGTCGGATGAGTCGGTGGGATGGCTCACATCCTCCGTGAGACGGTTTGGGGGCGTCTCTGAGAGCCTGGCTCGTGCCTGGAGAGAGGCTGGTGTGGACAGAGGCCAATCAGACACACTGCCCCAGGCCACTGCCTTTCAGTGCTTGTCTAAACCAGATAAAGTGGTGACTGCCCACCCATGTCTGCCCCCTTCCCCCGCCAGCCCCCCCAGCAGACCGGGAGCCCGCCTCTGTGTCCCCAGCATCACCTGCACAGGACCTGGTGTGCAAACTGGGGCCCCCCCACCAGGTTGGGGTGTGTGGTGTGAAAACGTCAGTGATGATAACAGCTTACATTTGGGGGATATTTACCTGTTCACCAGGCAGCGTTCTAAGTCTTCGGCTGAGATGAACCCATGTCATTCTTTCGACATCCTCTCTAGACGGTAGTCGGCAAACTCATTAGTCAACAGAGCCAAATACTAACAGTACAACGACTGAAATTTCTTTTGAGAGCCAAATTTTTAAAACTTAAACTATATAGGTAGGTATATTGTGATTAACTTAATTAGGGTACTCCTAAGGCTTAAGAAGAGCCACACTCAAGGGGCCAAAGAGCCGCATGTGGCTCGCGAGCCGCAGTTTGCCGACCACGGCTCTAGACCAGCGGTTTTCAACCATGGTGCCAGGGCTCGCCGCTGTGCCGCAAGAATTGTTAAAACGTGCAATACCTGACTATGTAGTCAGGGGCACTGACCCCGTACCCCTTAGACTGCAAAAAAAAAAAAAAAAAATGACAGCAGCCAACACATCTGATGTGAATGAGTCCAAATTATACCAATTATTTTTTTTGTCAGATCGGCAAAAAGCATCATATATTTTGTGGTGGGCTGCACCACAAAACTTCTGGTGTGCAGAATTTTAGTCGTTGATGCGTGCCGTGAGATGAAAAAGATTGAAAATCGCTGCTCTGGATTTATTTATTTTTTTAAATATATTTTTATTTATTTCAGACATGAAGGGAGAGCTAGAGAGAGATAGAAACATCAATGATGAGAGAGGATCACTGATCGGCTGCCTCCTGCAGGCCCCCTTCTGGGGATCGAGCCCACAACCCAGGCATGTGCCCTTGACTGGAATCGAACCCGGGACCCTTCAGTCTGCAGGCTGACGCTCTATCCACTGAGCCAAATCAGCCAGGGCTGCTCTAGATTTATTAATCCCATTAGACAGGTGAGGAAACTGAGGCCCACGAAGGTTCCCTTACTTGCTGGCTGGGTAGCGACTGGCATTATTGAAACACAGGCGAGCCCTGCTCCAGCTGCCCTCTGCCCATCCCACTCACAGCGCCCGACCTCCTGGACTCTCTGGCAGAGGTGTGGGCCCCAGGCTTGTGGAGACTTGCTCCTCTCAGATTCTGGGACTCGACTCTGCTGGTTCCCTCTGGCCTCCCCCTGATCCTTTGGGCTCTGTAGCCCCTGGGCCTCGGACCCAGCTGCCAGCCCTGGTCCCTGGCCTGAGATGCCTGGGGCCCTATCTGTCGCCCCAGCAGGCAGGCTCACAGTGAACTCAGCTGTGGGTCCCGGCATCGCCCAGCCTCGGGCCCTGCATGGGTGCCTCCGCTGTGTGTGCTGTGTGAGGGGAAACGTGCAGCGTCCTGGTATCCGCTCCTGAGTTTTCCTGAAGTGTGGGTGCTGCCTGCCCCTCCCACAGTCCTGGGGCCCTCTCCATGGCATCCTGTCTCGGAAGGGATGTGTCTGTTGATGTCCCTTTCTGAACAAATACATGATTTCAAACACTGCCAACAACCTAATCACCGGGCCAGAGCCCGGGCACCCCTCCTTCCTGCACCTCCCCCAGCCCATCAGCTTTCAGCCCCAACCCTCCTGCCCCCTCCATCTCCCTGTTCTCCATCCTGTTCCCTCTTCTCCATCCTCATGGCCACAGCAGTTGAGGCCTCATCTTCTCCCACCTGGACCCTTGCCCCAGCCTCCTTCCCTGCTCCTGTCTCTCCCCTCCAGCCCGGACCCTCCCAGCCTCAGGGGTCTCCTTGCGCCTGGAGCTGCCCCCGCCCCTCCAGTGGCCCAGCACCCTCAGGACAAAGTCCCCCGCCCCTCAGCCTGGGGTTCAAGGCCCCTCCAGGTTTGGCCCTGGTTCCCTGTTCAGCCATCCGCATCCCCCTGCCCCTCTCTCACCCTTTGTGCTTTCCCAACACAACAGGCTGCCTCTTGCCTTGGGCCCTCATCCCTGTTGTGCCTTCTGCCTGGGCACCTTCTACTTCACCCTCCAACCTCTGCTTCTCATGCCCCCTGCCTTGTCCTGCCTCACTCCGACCCGCTGTTACATCAACGCTTAGTGAATCGGGCACAGCCTCCTCCAGGAAGCCCCCCGTCTCGCCTCCGCAGGCTATCTTGGTGTGCCCTTGGGTGCTTCTGCAGGCCTTGGGCTTCCCTTTCTTAGCCTCCCCACACTGAGCTGGGATCCTGTTTACCCAGGTGGCAGACCCCTACCCCGGCAATTCGTTTCGGGTGTGCCGGCTCTGACTCGCCTCTGTGTGCCCAGCCTCCCTCCATCACCTCCTTCCAGTCTTTGCTCAAATGGCACCTCTGAGAGGCCTTTCCTGGTCACCTACCTAAATCTCAGCTGCACAGTCCCGTCTGCTTCCTTGCTGAACCCTCCCCGCCCCCCCCCCCCCCCTTTTATCACTTTGGAACCCACCAGGTAGTTTACAGGTTTCTTGCTTTAGTGACTGTCTCCCCTCCCAGGATGTGAGCTCCGGGTGGGGAGGAGGGTCTGTCTGGTGCCGTCACTGATCCTGGTCAGACAGCGGGTGCACTGCCGGGAAGGTTCAGAGTGGAGACTCTGAGCCTGGCACCCCGGGTCTGCGTCCTGCTGTGTGGCCTTTGGGGAGTCGCTTAGCCTCTCTGAGCCTCATTCTCCTCCTCTGTACAACAGGGATAATGAT